CTAACACCATCAATTTATGCTTAAGAACTTATAACATATTCCTCATACAATTTATAAAGTAGAATTTTTTCATGCTGCACATTCCTGGTGTTTTCATCTCCAGGATATTCATAGGGTATGCAAACTCAATAACGTACAACAAATTCCTTCTTGGATCCATCAATGCACCAAATGCCATGAGGAGATTATATTCACCATAATATTTATCAAATTTATCTTTTATCTTCTTAGTCATATCTACAATAAATTCATCAATTGAAATTGCCCCCTTATCCAACACCTGCTTTATAGTACATATTTGTGAAAGAAACAAATTGTCTTAGGATAATCTGTTCCTAAAATGATATCAATAGCTTCGTTAAAGAATCTTAAAATATCACAAACTTTTTCAATTTTATCCAACTTTTCCTCTGTTGGGCATGCAACATATGTCACTTATATTTTATTATATGAAAAAAAAAACTTCCCTTAATTACAATGCCACTATCAACATTGAGTATGTTGAGTTTCAACGTGTTAAATAATCCATTACTAGCTTTCTAGTAGATAATTATAATTATTGTACGACCTCAAAAAAATATGGCTAACTTGTCTTCATATGCATTAACAGAACTAACGTTGCTCAAATCTTATCAAGAATATACACAATACTTTTTACACCATTATTCACCATTAGGTTTAGTATTTAAGTAGAACAACAGACATGAAACAACTTTCTCCGAAGAACACTTTTTTTTTTGCACTCTAAAATTATATTTTAAAAGCTTCATTGCACTATCATTATTTGATACATTATTAACTTATATAGTAAATAGCTTAAAACTCATTTATATAACCTCCATTGCGAATCAATGTAATGAGCTGTGACTTCCATATATGATATTCTCTATTTTTTTTTTAGTTCCATAAATATGTAGTAAAACTAATTTTATTGCTACTTTTTAAATCATTTTTCAACTTTTTCTTCTATCTTTTATACACTTGTATCACATCATTGCATGTTATTGCTCTTGAGTACTTCACAAAAAAGTGACATAGATTTTAAAATTAAATTGAATTCAAATTCTTCAATAATAAAAAATAGTTTCTCATTAATTACTATGTAATGTACTATCATCTCTTTAACTTTTTATGATCATGTTTAAAAGTGGCCAATATTTCACTATCTTGATTGTTGTAGCCAAATGAGTTCTCTATATATGTTGGTTGAAAATATAAGATTTTATATTTTTTTAAGGCACAAATCCTTAGCAATAAAATCGTCCAAATGCCTTTTTAAAATGGGTGGTTGCACCAGTACCTCATATAGCTAGTTTCTTTTATAATGCACACACTTTCTCTTTCTTCGCCCAGCAGGAAAAATGATTTCCTTAAACTCATCCCAAACTTCATATGTTTTTTCCTTTTTCCTTTTTCTATAATATCATCAGCTTCTTTAATATCATTCACTTGATTCTAATTAGTATACTTTTCCACCTCTTTATCAATATAATTATTATTATTATGTGAATCATTCTCATTCTCATAATGACTATTAACATAAGAGTGAAGACGATCTCGGTCTTGGTATTTACAGGCTCAATGTTAACCCCTTTCATAATTATTGGTATTGACATTCTAAAAAAATTATGATAGCATTGCCAACATTATAATAGATATCATCAAATTCAAATACTAATAATATAAAAATATTTAAAATGCACAAATAATCCAAAAAACTACATTAAAAAATATAAAATAGAACAAGTGTAGCAGTTGTCTACAAATAATAATTTTCATGAATCCTCTTGATAATGGTTGTTGTAATTGCCTGAGAAGCTTCAGACCATCCAAACATGATATATCATTACCATAGAAAAAATATAGATATTCAATAATCCATGGCAAAATTATATTCATGTAAATGTCAAAAAATTTCAGATGTGTCTGAAAGTTTTAACAATTATAATAGACAAAATCATGAATTTCATGCTACATCACAAACTTCAACTGTAATAAAAAGTTTTACCAACTGTAATAGCAAAATAATCTTCATGCTAAATTACCCTTCAAAAGAATCAATCTAGAAGAAAAAAATAAAAAGAAGAAAAATAGATAAAATCATGTACTGAATAATCACTCATATGGAAAATCAGACGCCTAAAAAACCAGCCAAGAAATATATAAACAATTTTATTTACAAGAAAATAACATCAATCAATAAGAGGACTGAAGAAGAAAATTCATAGAATATGAAATGCAAAAAAACTGCTCGGCCACAGAATATCAAGTTCAAAATGAATTGTAAACCACATATTAGCATTGAAACTAGAGTGTCTTCCACTTGCTAGGTCACACGAGATGGTGAGAAGAAGATGGATGTCCGTCATCTGTACTCCTTAATGAAATGAGGGTTGGGCTTTACAAATTATATATGGGCATTATATTATTTTATTTTTTATCAAGAAGGCTCGATGAGCTCTCGAGCCGTAAACGGTTGTGCTCGAACTTACTGGGCAGCGCCGCAGCGGGCGGGCAGTGGGCGCTGGCAGCGCGGGCGGGCAAAGCAGGCAGGGGCGGGATTTGAATTTTTTTGAATTAAACGGGTTCGCGTGTTGACCCGTCAACCCGTTGGGTCAACCTGAACCCGACCTGTTTTTTAAACGGGTCAATTTCTGGAACCCGAACCGTTTTGAAACCGGGTCAGGTCCAACCCGAATTTTCCGGGTCGGGTTTTCGTGTCGTGTCAAATATTGACACCCCTACCCCTAGTCATCCCTATATGTTGTGCACAACTCCTTCTAGGAAGGTACTAATATATTAGATTGGGGGTATTCAATTCATTAATAAACTAGTTCACCCTATACATCATGCTTAACTCCATTTGGAGGGCACATGTATTAGATTGAAGTCTCCCTTATCTATCTCTAATAAATCTTTAAAGGCTTTATATGATCATCTATTCTATATGGAGGATGATTGCATTTCATTTATAAGCCTTAAGATCTATAGGTTTGTAACCCTCACACATTTGGTTTATTAATTTATAAATTCTTTACAATTAAATAAATAACTTTAACCATTAAAATTTTAAATAATAAAATTCAAGCACATACAAGGTAAACTTTAACTAAAATCTTTTTTGACTTTAATGAACAAACACTTTAAATTGATGCAACTTAAATATTAAATTCCTATAGGATATATCAAAACCACACAGCTTACTTCACACACTCAAATGGTTTGCAATGGAAACCAACTCTAGCCTATGTTAGGCTGGTGGTGTGATTTGATTGCTGGGTACTTTGCTTGGAGAGCACCCTATATTTGTTTATTTATTTTCATGCAATCTAGATTTCATGCATTTTATATTGTTGTTGGTGCGCTTAGGCTCTTTAAGGAATGCATTAGAAGTATTAAGATATTATACAACTGCTTTGCACTTTATATTTTTATGTTAATGCTTTTCTATACAATTCTTTCATTTCCTACAAGAGTCAAAGTATAATGTACATGGGAATTATTGTATACATGTACAAGTGTCTAAAAATATATTTTGTATATAGATCGAGTTGTATAGTGTATTGGGTTGCAAAAGAGTCATATACACCTACTTATATATTCAAGTGGGGTTCCAAAAGACGATGTCCTTTCCTTTGGAGGATAATATTTTTAGAAATTTCACAGAAGACTTGGAGCTTGAAGATTTTAAGTAGATATATTTGATTCTATATATATGATAGGCTTAGAAACTCATATTTTTTGTGGTGGAGCCTGACAACCTTATTTTCATGTAGAGTTTGAGTCTATTGTACACATTCAAATCTATAAATTAATAAAATTTTATTTATCTATACAACTCTTTTCTTTACATCATTTCATATATTAAATACATGTGGGTGATAGTTTGCATTAGCCGGTTGTAGATTTTCTTAGATTCTCCTCAGTGTGCATGTTCAAGACTTTATAGGAACATATATACTAGTTCTAGGATGATATAGTTTTAGGTACTTTACACACCAACCCCTTTATATATATATATATATATATATATGTATATATGTGTGTGTGTGTGTGTGCGCGCGCGCCTTAGGTGGACTCGCCTGAACAATCCTCATTTTGCTTGGTGAGGACTTAGAGCACTTTTTTTGCTTCTTCCTCCTCCAACTTGCGAATATCATCCCTCCTCACTTAAAACTAGACATCGCTAACTCATTGAGACCTATCTCTGCTTTTTTCAAACAAGTCCAAACGTTGCAAGGTAAGTAAGGATATGGAGTTGTCACATCATGAGTCGGCACTAATAGGTGGAAAATATAAGTGCCATCACATCACAATCATGATGATGAATCTATATGAAACCCGAGACTAACGTAACAATAGGGTAATAATCATACATAATTTCCTTTCTAATATTTGGTTGATATAATAAATTCACTTATCTTTTTCACAATTGGCCCTTAAATGAAACAAGTGAATCAGAGAACTAATATATACTCGTATATGTCTATATATGGCATATATAGGTACCTAACATGTTTGAGTAAGAGAACTTGAACCTAACATATTTTAATAACTAGTTCAACCAAATATATCACCTCACCCTCCACAAGTACACTTCAATTAGGCAACACGACTTGCCTAAGTTAGACAAGTCAAAGAGAACATGAGCTGAAAGGAACTCATAAACATCCATTCCCTCTTAAAAACCCCTCTCTCTATAGTGGGGGATAGCCTCCTAAGAATATTTCCCCATCTCAATAGGAAAGGAGGGGACAATAGTCAATGCCACTTCCTAGCAAGATCTTCTCATCTCATGCTCATTGCAACCTCCTCTTCATTGGAGAGATTATTCTATGCGGACACCGAACAAGAAGAATCGTCTGGTTTTGTCACTGTAAACAGTAAAAATGCAGCATGTTTTTACTATTCATGCTACAATTTTGCTGTTAACATAGACAAGAAGAAATCGCCACCAGTTCTTTCTCATATTAACCCATGTGTATCGTTTCGGATCGGACGTTGTAGTTCAGTCTTTAGGTGCGTATGGGTTCGTGACTCACGTGCTTCTCCGTTCTGCATCAAATTTCCATCCATTAGAGGGTGAAAGTTGTTCTCTCGAGCCTTCGCTAGAGCCGAGGTTTCTCTCTCTCTCGATCTATCAGATATTCATGGAGGATCTTGCTGTGACCTGCCCTGCCCAATTCCAAACCATTGCTCCTTCCTTTCAGCAACCCCTCCAAACCGTTGATACCTACGACTTCAATTCGCCGCTTCAGTCTCAGCAAACCCTGGAAGCTCAACAACGGCCTCTAGCTTCGGACTCCCATGATTCTCTGCCGCCTCCGCCGCCCGAAACCCTAGTAGAGTACCCTGCCCCTCCATCCTCTTCAGAAACCCTAGCTCCTTCCGGAGGCTGCGAGCACGACGAGGAAGGTCAGGCGCCGCGTTTGGACGGTGTTGATAAGCCTTTGATATCGGACACTAGCCTTCTGAAGACCCACAGTGGAACCGACAGGGATTGCTCGGGAGGGGAGGAGGAGACGAGTAGCCGTCGTCGCCGGCGCAGCCGGTGGGACACCGACTCTTCAGAACAGAACACCAGTGATGGTACAGGCACCGGACGGAAGAGAAAGTCCCGGTGGGCTGACGATGTGCCTCCGCCTGTGGTTCAGCTCCCAGATTTCATGAAGGATTTCACTGCAGACCTTGACCCTGATGTACAATCGCTGAATTTTAGACTACTTGACATCAATCGAAAGCTCCAGTCAGGACTTCCTTTAGATGATAGGCCTGAAGGTGCACGGTCACCCTCCCCGGAGCCGATCTATGACAGCATGGGTATCAGGATAAATACTAGAGAGTATCGGGCTAGAGGAAAGCTGATGACAGAGAGGCAGGAGATCATCTCAAAGCTGATTCAGAAGAATCCGGCCTTCCGTCCGCCTGCAGACTATCGGCCTCCCAAGCTTCAGAAAAAGCTATATATTCCCATGAAGGAATACCCAGGCTATAATTTTATTGGGCTCATCATTGGGCCAAGGGGAAACACTCAGAAAAGAATGGAAAAGGAAACTGGTGCCAAGATTGTTATTCGAGGAAAGGGGTCAGTGAAGGAAGGCAGGCTGCAGCAGAAGAGAGATCTGAAACACGACCCTGCAGAGAATGAGGATCTTCATGTCTTGGTTGAAGCTGAAACTCAAGAGGCCCTTGATAAGGCAGCAGACATGGTGGAGAAGCTCCTGCAGCCCGTTGATGAAGTTCTGAATGAGCACAAGAGACAGCAGCTTAGAGAGCTTGCAGCCCTCAATGGCACCATCAGGGATGATGAGTTTTGCAGGCTGTGTGGTGAGCCAGGCCACAGGCAGTTTGCTTGCCCAGCTCGCACTTCAACTTTTAAGAGTGATGTTCTTTGCAAGATTTGTGGTGATGGAGGTCACCCAACAATTGATTGTCCAATGAAAGGATCTGGGACTGGAAATAAGATGGATGATGAGTACAAGAATTTCTTAGCTGAACTTGGAGGATCTGGACCTGAATCCTTAACAAAGCAGGGGATAACATTATCTATTGCAGGTTCAAATTCCGGAAATAATCCTCCTTGGGTTGGTGGTAGCTCTGCTGGGAGTGCACTGGCTAACGGGGTAAAGAAGGAATATGATGAGACTAATTTGTATATCGGTTACCTGCCACCTAATCTAGATGATGATGGCTTGATCAGATTGTTTGCTTCTTTTGGTGATATTGTTATGGCTAAGGTTATCAAGGATAAGATTACTGGCCTTAGTAAAGGTTATGGTTTTGTGAAATATTCAGATGTGTCTATGGCTAACCAGGCAATATCTAGCATGCATGGATATCATCTGGAAGGGAGGACTATAGCTGTGAGAGTAGCTGGCAAGCCGCCTCAGCCTGCTGTGCCCCCAGGTCCTCCAGCTCCATCACCTACACCTACTTATCCTGCACCCTATGGAGCAAATGGTGGTTATCCATTACAGCAGCCTTATATGGCTGGACCCATGGAAAATGCCCAGCCACCTCCTCCAGGAAGTTTTGTTGGTGCTCCGGTTCAATCGGGACCATCAACAATTACTCCAACTTATGCATCTTATGCCCCTCCATCTGGCCCTAGCATGTATAATCCAGTTTCAGGTCAAACAATAGCTCCTTATGGCGTGCAGTTTCCCCCTCCACCGCAGGTTCCTGCACCACCTACACCTCCTGCACCTCCTGGTTCTACTGATGCAACCGACAGTACTCGTGGAGTACCGGCACAGAGTACCACTGCAGCTACCCCTTCTGTGCCTGCTCCTATGTATGGTGTTCCATATAGTGCTTCTAGCGTAGGAATGGTTCTCCCTATTCCTCAGCCATATCAAACATCTTATGTCTATCCACCTTATTTTAACCCCATGCCTACCTTGCAACCCCCAACTTTTGATGCCACTCAGAGTGTAGCAAATGCCACATGGTTCTCAAATCCACCTGCTCCTCAACCTGATTTAAGTCTTTCAAATGTTCATTGGACCAAAGACCAACCAACTTCTCAACCCGAGGCTGTATCAAATTTACCATGGGCTGCAAATCCATCTTCATCTGCAAAACAGTATAACACAATTAATGGCGCTGATACCGAGTACGAGAAGTTTGTTTCTGAGATGCAGTGAAACCAATTTGCCAAGTTGCTGTTGTTTTGCAAGGTACTGCTTGATATTTCTATCCAGTTTGTCATTATATTATATTTATGGTTCCCTTTTATCTTTATATATCTGAATACAATATTATTACTTTCTGATTTTCAAATTTGAATGTTGGACTGAACTACTTATTCCCAAGCAGGTCAACTGATTATGCTCTACACATGAAAGTAATTTTTGTCAGTCAAATTGCAAGTATTGAATTTTGTGTTTCTGATTGGAACCAACCTCCTTAATTCTCTGGTGATAATTATCTATTTTGGCAGGCTTGAGGTTTCTTGGAGCTAGCATGAACGAGACATATTTCATCTTAACCTTGCTGTTATGTGCAGAGAATGGGAAGCTTGTGAGCTGATTATGTTGGATAATTTTGATGTATTTGATTTCTACTGCTTAACCACGCTTTTGAATCATAGGACATGAATTAAAAGCCTCATGGAGTCATCAACGACCGGATAGTGTTTTCTTCTCTGTTGGCTATACTGTCGAACTATTTTAAAAAAGCTGAAAATTTTGTGCTATGTCGTTATTTTCTAGAACAAGTACTTTGTTTTAGGTTTATATGGTCTTTTCATTTTTTTTCTAATTCCGGTTTGACTTGTTTTTGTTTGGTGTCTACTTTTTTGGTCTAAGCATCGAATCTGATTGTTATTGGCAACCTCGAAATGGCGGTACTGGCCTTCTTGCGATGATGTGGGTGAGACTGTTTTGATACCAATTGGTTTGGTGACACTAATTTATTTCCCTGGTTATGCTACTAGTTCTTGCGGCTAACACTCCTCCCAAGATTGTTTTCTGCAGGTTTGGCGACAAATGCTTAAACTGCTTTTTGTTGATTTACCTTGGAACAATAAAAATCTCATCAGTTGTTTATGGGGCTTCTTGATTATTCCATTCTTTTCTCACACAGATTTCCTTGGCTTTCTTTTGCTAACTTAAGTTTCTCTAGTTTTTCCTCTTTGCTCATGCATTCTCCTATAATTTCCTGTTTTCTGCTCATTTTTTTCCGGACAAATGCTGGTTTTTTATTTATTTTATAATGCGACCATTAACCATCCCTACAACAGCAACATTAGCATCAACCTGATGGGGATTTCGTATTGGAAGATCATTATTCTTGTTGAAAGGGGCATCTCACTGACCGTCAAAATGAAGTGTAATTATGTTTACTATTTAGTCTTTTGCATGTACAGCTTCTCAGTTAATAGGAGAAAACAGGTACAAAATGACAGGAAATCATTCCAACTCATCAAATAATATGAACTTGCTTGTGCATACCGTATCACCCAGCTTGACCCACTGCAAAGATGGCGCTACTTAGAATTAAGTCTTGTAAATCTATGGTGTGGGGGTTAAGATTTACTTGTGAGGGGAATTTTTAGTGAGTTTGAATTGCTTAGAGCTCTAGATGCATTGAGAAATATTCTCTCTCTCTCTCTCTAATATTAGAAATTCTCTTCCTCTAGATTGGACATTCATGAGTAGATGTTCTTAATGAAACGCAAATGTTGTGCTTGACAAAGAGAACCTATTCTTTTACACTGTTTCTGACGATTTATTTGTCTTAGTCAAGTGATAATGCCACTTATTAAGGTGAGCTTCTCCACTATCAATTACTAAGTTTAAACCTAAGTTAGAAACATGATTTAGAGAGATTCAACAAGGGAGATTCAACCCCGGTCCAAAAAGAGCGTGCGGCTAGCTTTGATCTGTAGGGAGTTGGTATGTTGTTATTTGATTTTTTTTTAAAATTGCATTCTATGTCAGTGCATTATATTCTATAATACAATATTTTAGAATCACAATCCTCCATGAGTACCTTGGTTTTTATGCCATTGCAACTCGTTTTAGTTGTACATTTTATTCTTCGGGTTATTCTTGCCCCTTAGATGGTAAATACTAATACATTCCCTTGTACAAATTCAGTTGATTTTTCATGATTAGTTTAAGATGATCTGGCATCTTTTGTTATGAAGATTATCAAGATTGAAATAAAACATTGGGATACTACTCTTATATTAACTTTTGGGTTCGTTTGGGACAGATTTCTTACTACATTTTAAAGCAACTTTTTAGTATAAATTTTTTTTAAACTAGAAATTTTTGTACTAAAAAGTTGTTTTAAAAAGTAGTAAAAAAGCTGTCCCAAACGAGCCCTTTCTGGATTTGTTGTGGTCCATTGGCATAGTTTCTCATTATAGATTTTTGTTGCTGTTTAAAAGATTTATATTTCTGCATTTGACCATGTAAATCTGAAATGCATGCGTACACGCACCAATTGCCTAATATTTGGGCTTTTATCTAGGTTTTTGGGGCTGCTGGAAAAGCATACCGGTTGGCTAGCAGTCCATAAAACAAGTGCTGCCAAATGTATTGATTTATTTTTTGAAGGTTCTCTCGTATTCTATATCTTTAGGTTATATTCTAGCTAGAATCTTTCGTATTACTTTCGCATGTGGGATAAGTATTATATTCAGGTATGTCTTACTTTATCAACTAGGAGGATTTCCATTTAATTTCATTAAGGATGCGATCTAAATCTCCCTTTTTTAGCTTAGATTTTTGTTCACAATACTAATTTTATCAAATCTTATCAGAACGATGTTGTACATAGAGAATATCAAGCAGTTGTGGTTGGATTGGCTGGTTCAGTGATCTGCACAACAAATTGATTGAATCTGATATATTTTCAGACATGCGTTGTACTAAAGAAATTCCAAATTGTTTTGCCAAGTCTTTCATCACTATGAGTGGGTTGATGGTTATAGCTTGCTTGGTCAACCTAAATTGAAATCATGCATGCTAAGGATCCTTCATTTTAAGGGGATAGAGCTTCAATATTATGAGTAATTTCTGCCCGAACATGCAATTTAGTATTCATTCTTTCATTATACTTTTAAAAAATGAATCAAACACTTGTATTGATATAACCGGGAAGATTTTAAGCGCCTTTTATTACATCTATGTTGATCATTCTAACATCTTTAAATTGCATGTTCTTTATGTTTTTATTTATTTTAATTATATTTTATCAAATTGGGGTTTTGATGAAGATAGAGAACAACATTATGATCATCCTAATTAGCCATATGCCTGACTTTTTGGGGCTTGTTTTATGAACATTTGTTCTCAATCCATTATTGTGGAGTGCTACATGAGCTATTTTTTCAAAGTTGTACAAAAGTTGATTATTAGAGAAATTAAACTGAAAAACTTATTCTGATTATTATAATTGTAGCAAGATCTTTCTATTGTATTTAAGTACTATAGTTTTGGATGTTTTTGATGCAATATTGAAGAAATGTTATTTCTTATTGTGGGCATAAAGAAATCAAAAGAAAATCAAGGTCCACTTTGGGAATTTGATGAGTAGGGATGTGAGCTGAGCTATGATGCACAGACACCGACACGATGACACAAATACAATACGACACAGACACGGGACACATCAATTATTAAAAATATAGGACACGGATACGGGTTGAATATGGATATGGGTTGCACACGGTATTATAATTTTTAAATTTTAAAAATAGTTTATAAAAATTTAATAAGTATCGACCCGTTTACCTAACCGGGTCGGGTTAGGGTCGACCCGTTTGAACCCGGGTCAGTTCCGGGTTCGACCCGAACCCGACCCGTGACCCGAAATTGACACCCCTAAACACGGATATGGGTTGGACACGGTATTATAATTTTTAAATTTAAAAAATAGTTTATAAAAATGTAATAAGTATAATATGAAAAATAATTTAAAGATAATAAGTCATTTAATTAGAATTTGTGCTTAAAATGATTAATATTAGAATTTTGAGAGTCGGCAGTTGATGTAGTGTATCAGACATCGAGAGAGGAGTCGACAATATTGTTCAGAGTCGGGCATCGATATTATGCAGTAAGTATCAGGTGTCGATGTCAAGAGGGCGTCTGTCATCGATGTTGATAGGACGTTGGTCGTCGATGTTAAGACGACGTCAGACAAAGATGAGCTGTCAAGTTAGCGTAGAAATTGTTGGCGTTGAGCATCAATGTCAAGACAGTGTCAAACTTTGATGTTGAGATCAATGTTTAAAATTGCGTAATTGAGTATTGAGATGTTTTTCACTCATGAGGTGAGGTGTAAGCCTCAAAATCCAAAAATTGTGTAAAGTGAAAATAAATGTCAAAAGTGATTTTTTATATAATATCCAAATAATAAGTTAAATAATAACATTAATTTTCTACTGAACTATGAAGTGACAAATTGGCATATACATGAAATTAAAAATTGCACAAAATGACAAGTAATAAATTACGTGAAATAGAATTGAAATTCAATATTACAAGAGCAAAATAACATGAAATATAAGAATTATGTAGAATTATCCTATAACATCAAGTTCAACTCCAAATTCCTTCTTTCTTAGTTCCTTACTCATCCACATTTAATTCTCAAAAACAAATAACATAATTAGCAATAACTCAGAAATTATCTACATTGTTATCACTGTGGTCTTTATTTGAGTTGTCATCGTAACAAATTAATCTCTTCCCTATCTCATCCTGTAGAGCTCAATCTCTCTCTATCTGTTTCTTCTTTATTTATTTCAATTATCTTTCTCTTTTATAAATATTTTTCATTAACATAAAAATAAGAATAATACTTCAAAATTTTTAGATGTGGAGGTGGTGGTGGTGTGCGGTTCAAGTGATTTTCGGTGGTAGCTATGACACAAGCGGTGGGCTGGATGTCGAGGCGGTTGAGAGGAAGTTGCTGTGGCTTGGAGGTGCATTAAGACATTATTTGTTTGGGGTTTTAATTTAGGATTTAGGTAAGTTTTAATAAAAAAACTCGGGTGAGGCGAGACGCATCTTAAGGCGGGCCTCACCCACTCTAAGGCGTAAATCTCATTAAAAAAGCTCGAGATGTAAGCCTCGAGGCATTTTTCAATGGAATTGCGGTGCGGCGGGCCTCAAGGAGAGCCTCATATTGCGCAATTTTAAACAATGGTTGGGATGTTTTTGAAATGTCAATGTTGTAATGATGTCAAACATCGATGTTGAGATGACAACGAGCATTGTTGTGAAACCAGAGTCCCGGCCCGCCAAAGAGAAATAAAAATGAGAATATTCAATGAATGTGGTATTGAGTGCGGGTAATTGATTTGGCGTTGTGAAATAAAAAAAATTAGTTTTTTATTTTAAATAAATAAAAATTTTAAATACAAGAAGTTATACTTAAAAGAAATTCTTAAAATATTTAAGACGTTTGTTTGACACGTATGTCCAATTTGTATTTAATATTTTTTAATTGAACACGTTTTTGGCATGTCCGACACATGTCAGATGCGTGTCGTGTTAGATATGTGTTGGGCACTGCATGACCCTTTGAGAAAAAGTATCAATGCATCATAGGAGTTGAGTTAGGATGCTTGATGAAGTACTAGATATTCATTCTTATAAGACTTATTTATATTTGTTTTTTTGGATGGTTGAAAAAGTGGACATAAAATTTATAGAAGTTGATGTATAAGCGAACAAATTTAAATAGTGTCTTATTTGTCAATTATACTTTAATCATGCTTGATTGTTGTTTAATATATAGCTTGTTGGGAGTTTTGCTAATTATTTTTTAATGCTGATTTAGTTGTTAATTTAAAATTTATTTTATGTTATTATATAAAATTTCTTATATTCTATGCACTATAAATATTATTTATATTACTATAGATGGAAGCTGGATAAATCAAGAAAATTTTAATTTTATTTTTTATTAACATTTGTTTATGAAAATATTGAACAAATAGTATGTGATTGGTTAAATTTTAATTATGCATAAAATATTAGAAATATGGTTGATTGAATTAGGTCAATTTTGGTAACAACTATGAATACATCTATAGTTTTTAATAATAGTTTTCATAAAATTTAATTTTGTTATTCATTATTATCTTATACAGAATTAGTTAGTCTATAGAGACTTGAACTTTTTGGTATGAAAAATAAAAAAATAAGCTTAATCATGATTTTGAAAGATAAATGAACGAGCTTGAACAATGTAATATTTAGCTTGACTTAGTTTATTTTTAACTTTGTGCTACGGTTGTGGACCTCGCCTCATTTCAAGAGCCAAAAGGCTCTTGTTTTCTGGGTTCTAGCACCTCATTTCAGACATATAGGGGGAAAAATGTTTAAGGGGAGATCATTGGAGGAAATGTGAGGTACATTTATGATGATATTAGGGTTGGTTTAAAGGGGAAAGTTTGTATGTGGGAGGGATTATATGAAGAATTTTCTGAAGTAGTTTTTCTTAGATAATTTTGGGTTCCTAGGTGTTGCTAGGAAATTGGGGGAGGGCCGATTCACCTCTCAAACAGTGAATCAATTGTATCTCGTGTTTCTTTGATTGATGATTGTTAGTTCAACTTTATTAGTGATGTTTCTGCATACTGTTGTTGTTTTCACTTGATTTTGGTGGCTATTTTTTGTTGTTTGGTGTTGATTTTGCTCTAGTGGTTGTTTTGGGTGCTGATTTGTTCTCTAAAATTTATCAAATTGGTATCAGAACAAGTTTTTGGGACCAATGGCTGGGAGAAGAGTTGAGGCGTTGGAAGAAAAGTTAGAGGGGGAAGTAGGTTAGCTGCAAGTCGACGTGGGATCGTTTAATGAGCATTTTTCACCAATGGAAGGAAGATTTGGGAATTTAGAGGAGATGATAAAGCGGATGTTGGAGTTTCAAATTAAAGCGGCTTCGCTGGAAGCAAGGAGAAAGCAGGAGAAATGACATGCCAAGGGGAGACGGAGAGGTGGAAATTTTAGGAGAGGAGGAAATACCCTGCCTTAAGTCTCTACTAAGAAGGTGGATGGATAGGGAATATGGAGGTAGGAGGGAATGGGAAGAAGAGAACAGGCGGGCTGAATTTGAAGGAAAAGAGTGGTATGAAAGGAGAAGGGAGGTGAGGGAACCGTGGAGAGACCCTAATGCTCGCTTCACGAGAGGCATGGGGGACGAAAGGGGAAATTGGGGCAGAGGAGATTCAAAGATTAGAAAGTTGAAAATGTCTGTGTTTGAAGGCGAGGTTGCGCATGGGTGGATCTATAGAGTAGAGAGATAGTTTGCGATGAATGGGTTGACGGAAGGGGAGAGGCTTATTGCGGCGATTTTATGTCTTAAAGGGAATGCACTGGCATGGTACCGATTGAGGGAGACAAGGTACCTGATCTGTTCATGGGAGGAGTTCAAGGTCCATTTATTGGAGCGCTTTCTAACCAAGCAGGGGGGAAATTATTATGAGCAGTTCTTTGCTTTGACATAGGTGGGAACGGTGGAGTGCTGAGAGGAATTTGAGCTTCTATTGGGATGTTTAAGGAGACTACCGTAGATGTTGTTAGAGAGCAATTTTATGAAGGGATTCAAACCAGGCCGTTGTGTGGGTAGCAAGACTCTGTGACTTGGGAGAGGCTATGGAGTTAGCCTAGTTGATAGAGGACAAGAACCCACTTGAGAGGAGTAGCAAAGGGGGCAATTTTGAATGTTCTTATCACATGATAACCACCTTCCTTGCACCTAGGGTGCCAACTGTATCGGGTCAAACAAAGGCTCCAAAGGAGAAATTTTTGGGAGCTTGTGCAGGTGGGAACTTTAAACAGCTGATTGATATGGAGTTGCAGTACAAAAGAGCTAAGGGGCTATATTTTAGGTGCGACGAGAAGTTTGTACCGGGCCATAGGTGTATAAATTGCACCTTGCAGGTCTGTTTTATTTGTGATGAGGAGAAGATAGACGAAGTAGAGGTAGAAGGAGAAGTGGTAGAGGAAGAGGAGCCCTTACACTTGAAGGTGGCGGAGGTTTCATTGAATTTTGTAGTTGGATTCATCCCAAATCACACTATGACGATAAGGGGACAGATAGGAGGGGAAGCAGTGGCAATTTTGGTGGATAGTGGGGATACACACAATATCATATCAAATCTTGCAAG